ACTGCATTTAAATGCTTCACATTGAAGGCTGACAGCAGTCTGCAGAAATAAAGAGGCCTGGAGGCAAAATACTCTTTTTTCGCAGTAGGTGAGCAATTTAAACTTCATGAGATACCTCCAGGGGCATGTATTTTTCATGACAGTGAATCATTCACGACCGGTGAACGTTCAGGGAAAGTCATGTTTACTGCTTTGTAAATATGCACCTTGGCAACATGAAATTTGTGTCGGGGAATTGAATTTTTCAGTGTTTCGGTTGACATACTGATGTACCATCGACTTCCAAGACACCAGAGCTGAAGAAGAGGTCATTTGTTTTACCTGGATGCACCTGGACTGACAACTCATGGGGCCCCGGGCAATAGGGAATCATGGGGCCCCTGTGTCCTTGCCCACACTCAAAGCACACCCAAAAAAGCCTATAAAAGGTACCAGGGGCATTTCATGGGGCCCCCTACTGACCCCAGGCCCTTGGACAGTGCCCGAGTGCTCGCATGGTCAGTCCACCTCTGCCTGGATGGCATAGGGGACGCAAAATGAGCGGGAGATTTTCCATATCGACCTCATTTCCCACACATTGCCAACCTCTGCTTGTTCCCGTCCTCGATCCTAGGAAAGTAGATCATATTTACTTGTGGTTGCCAACAGTCGTGTCCCGAGGCAGGTACAGGGGGTGACACCTATCACAGGGGGTAACACCAGACCAAGGTAAGTTTTAAAGCAAGCCAACGATCCCCGCAACATGGTTCGGATCTGCGGATTGAGCATAATGGATCGGAGTCCGGTCCATTATGCTCCCCAATCTGCAATGATGTGCAGTAACCTCTAGCAGCCAATCAGTGAGCAGTACTGATGTGAAGTAACCTCTAGCAACCACTGGGGGAGTGGTAATGATGTGCAGTAACCTCTAGCAATCAATGGGTAAACGGTGTCTTTATGGACCTTGCTTTGTGCACTGGTGCGCAGTCATGTTGGAACAGGAAGGGGCCATCCACAAACTCCTCCCACAAAGTTGGGAGCATGAAATTGTCCAAAATGTCACCTTAAGAGTTCCCTTCACTGGAACTAGGGGGCCAAGCCCAACCCCTGAAAAACACCCCCACACCATAATCTCCCCTCCACCAAACTTTACACAATGCAGTCAGGCAAGTACCGTTCTCCTGACAATTGCCAGACACGCCCATCGGATTGCCAGACAGAGAAGCGTGATTGGTCACTCCAGAGAACACGTCTCCACTGCTCTAGAGTCCAGTGGCGGCGTGCTTTACACCTACGGCACCCGACACTTTGCATTGCACTTGGTGATGGAAGGCTTGGATGCAGCTGCTCGGCCATGGAAACCCATTCCATGAAGCTCTCTATGCACTGTTGTTGGGCTCATCTGAAGGCCACACCAAGTTTGGAGGTCTTTAGCTATTGACTCTGCAGACAGTTGGCGACTTCTGCTCACTGTGCGCTTCAGCATGCGCTGACCCCGCCCTGTCATGTGACGTGGCCTACCACTTGGTGGCTGAGTGGCTGTTGTTCCCAGTTGCTTCCACTTTGTTATAATCCCACTAACAGTTGAGCGTGGAATATTTAGTAGCCAGGAAATGTCCCGGATGGACTTATTGCCCAGGTGGCCACCTATCACGGGACCACGCTTGGAGTCACTGAGCTCCTGAGAGCGACCCATTCTTTCACCAATGTTTGTAGAAGCAGTCTGCATGCCTAGGGGCTTGATTGTATACACCTGTGTCCATGGAGGGGATTGGAACACCTGAATCACATGATTGGGGAGGGGATTGGAGCACCTGAATCACATGATATGGAGGGGATTGGAACACCTGAATCACATGATATGGAGGGGATTGGAACACCTGAATTACATGATTGGGAGGGGATTGGAGCACCTGAATCACATGATTGGGAGGGGATTGGAACACCTGAATCACATGAATCACATGATTGGAACACCTGAATCACATGATTGGATTGGAACACCTGAATCACATGATATGGAGGGTGGGGCCAATACTTTTGGACAATATAGTAGGTATACTGTATATATATATTATAGTTTTTTTTAACAGAAGAGTGGTTGATGCTGGAAAAACAAACCTCCATCCGAGTCAATGTTGGGGACAACCATAGATACTCAGACATGAAAAAGGTTAAAAAAAAAAAAAAAAAGAGAAACATAACAAAACAAACAAAGAATAAATAAATAAAGGGACAACCTCCTATTATTTGGTCTTTTCTCCTCATCACTTTTCTTCTTTGTGTTTCTATCTAAACTTTAGAATATAATAAGACTCAACTAAATGCCTGGCGCAGTTACGTGGCTTTCACCTCTCAGGCTTTCCATCAAAGCTCTTTTCATGGTCTTTGATATTTGAAGAATCCAGCAGCACCGGTCTAACGACTGGTCTGTCTACAGCAATTCTGAAAAAAAAAAAAAGATTTGAGGTGTATCAAAACTGCGCGTACCTCAGAGAGGAAATTATTTTAACCACTCGAGCTCCGGGAGGGTTTACCCCCTTCATGACCAGGCCATTTTTTAGTTTTTTTGCTATTCAGCACTGTGCTACTTTAACTGGTAAATGCGCGCGTCATGCTACGCTGTACTTGAATTACATTTATATCAGATCCTTTTTTTTTTTCACACAAAATAGAGCTTTCTTTTGGCGGGTACTTGATCACCACTGGGTTTTTGTTTTTTTTTTTGGAAATATAAATTAAAAATGAATGGAGTTTTTTTTTTGGTCCGGCACATTCCCATAAAAAAAAATTACACCGTGTTTGCTTTAAGGAATGTTTTTATTCATTTGTACAATTTTTTCATTCTCAAACATCTTTTTTCTTCTGCATAAAAATAGCAAAAAAAAAATACATTGTTTCTTCTTTCAAATGATTTTTTAAAGAAATAAAAATGTGTTAATGTATCCATGCAACAATATTTTGTTTAGTCTACATTTATTATTTTAATAAAATTTATTTGGCAAATAAAATGTAATTAAAATACAACATTGTCATTGTTTTACATAAAAATGAAGAATTAATTTTTAATGTTTTATCAATTATAAAGCTCATTATTCTAAAAACATTGATGGTTTTTTGGGGGGGGGGGGTTGGTCACAGCACAATTCCCATAAAAGAAATTTACATCGTGTTTGCTTTAAGGAAAGTTTTTTATTGATTTGTACAATTTTTTTATTCTCAAAACATCCCTTTTCCTGTATAAAAATAACAGAAAAAAAATAAATTGCAAAGTTTCTTCTTTCAAATGATTTTTAAAGAAAAAAAAGTGTTTACTGTATCCAAGCAACAATATTTTGTTTAGTCAACATTTATTAATTTTAATAAAATTTATTTGGCAAAGAAAATGTAATTAAAAATACAACATTTTCATTGTTTTACATAAAAATGAAGAAATTCATTTTAATGCTTTATCAAATTATAAAGTTCATAAAGCTAAAAAAATGTATGTCTTTTTTTTTGGGGGGGGGGGGGGTTGGTCACGGCACATTTCCATTAAAAAAATTGATGTCGAGTTTGGTTTAGGAAAGTTTTTATTGGTTTGTACAATTTTGTTTATTCTAAAACATCCTTTTCCTGTATAAAAAAAAAATACAATGTTTTCTTCTTTCAAATGATTTTTAAAGAAATAAACAATGTGTTGTAATGTATCCATGTGACAATATTTTGTTTAGCCTACATTTATTATTTTTAATAAATTTTATTTGGCAAAGAAATGTAATTAAAATACAACATTTTCATTGTTTTACATAAAAGTAAATAAAAGGTAAGCTGTACACAATCAGTTTACGAACTTAAAAAATATAAAATCGCCCCAAAGTGACCATAGTTTCCTTTTAGTGCAAAATTCCTTGGAAGGGGCGTGTCCACCAAATTAACTCCTGAGACCCGGAGCAAAGGAAAAAAAAACATGCCGACGCCTTTTATTTCCAAAGCAAAATAAAACAACACAAGGCAGCACAAGGCAACACAGTAAGCAAATGCAGTAACTTGAGTGCTACGCAAATGGTGGGGCGGGGCCCTTAGAGTTACCAAACTGACCCCCAATGTAAGGGACATTCTTCCCACTGACCCCAATGTAAGGGACATTCTTCCCACTGACCCCAATGTAAGGACATTCTTCCCACTGACCCCAATGTAAGGGACATTCTTCCCACTGACCACCAATGTAAGGGACATTCTTCCCACTGATCCACTGATCACCAATGTAAGGGACATTCTTCCCACTGACCCCCAATGTAAGGGACATTCTTCCCACTGATCACCAATGTAAGGGACATTCTTCCCACTGATCCCCAATGTAAGGGACATTCTTTCCCACTGACCCCCAATGTAAGGGACATTCTTCCCACTGACCCTAATGTAAGGGACATTCTTCCCACTGACCACCCTAATGTAAGGGACATTCTTCCCACTGATCCCCAATGTAAGGGACATTCTTCCACTGACCCCCAATGTAAGGGACATTCTTCCCACTGACCACCAATGTAAGGACATTCTTCCCACTTGACCTCCAATGTAAGGGACATTCTTCCCACTGAATTAAGAGCATTCCCCAATGTAAGGGACATTCTTCCCACTGACCCCAATGTAAGGGACATTCTTCCCACTGACCCCCAATGTAAGGGACATTCTTCCCACTGATCACCAATGTAAGGGACATTCTTCCTTCCCACTGACCCCCAATGTAAGGGACATTCTTCCCACTGACCCCCAATGTAAGGGACATTCTTCCCACTGACCTCCCAATGTAAGGACATTCTTCCCACTGACCACCAATGTAAGGGACATTCTTCCCACTGGACCCCCAATGTAAGGGACATTCTTCCCACTGACCTCCAATGTAAGGGACATTCTTCCCACTGACCTCCAATGTAAGGGACATTCTTCCCACTGACCCCCAATGTAAGGGACATTCTTCCCACTGAGATCACCAATGTAAGGGACATTCTTCCCACTGACCCCCAATGTAAGGAACATTCTTCCCACTGACCCCCAATGTAAGGGACATTCTTCCCCACTGACCACCAATGTAAGGGACATTCTTCCCACTGACCCCCAAATGTAAGGGACATTCTTCCCACTGACCCCCAATGTAAGGGACATTCTTCCCACTGATCACCAATGTAAGGACATTCTTCTTACTGACCCACCAATGTAAGGGACATTCTTCCCACTGACCCCCCAATGTAAGGGACTTCTTTCTTCCCACTGACCACCAATGTAAGGGACATTCTTCCACTGCACTGACCCCCAATGTAAGGGACATTCTTCCCACTGACCCCCAATGTAAGGAACATTCTTCCCCACTGACCACCGAATGTAAGGGACATTCTTCCCACTGACCCTTGCACCAATGTAAGGGACATTCTTCCCACTGACCCCCAATGTAAGGGACATTCTTCCCACTGACCCCCAATGTAAGGGACATTCTTCCCACTGACCCCAATGTAAGGGACATTCTTCCCACTGACCCCCAATGTAAGGGGCATTCTTCCCACTGACCCCAATGTAAGGGACATTCTTCCCACTGACCCCCAATGTAAGGGACATTCTTCCCACTGACCCCAATGTAAGGGACATTCTTCCCACTGACCCCAATGTAAGGGGCATTCTTCCCACTGACCACCAATGTAAGGGACATTCTTCCCACTGACCACCAATGTAAGGGACATTCTTCCCACTGACCCCCAATGTAAGGGACATTCTTCCCACTGACCACCAATGTAAGGGACATTCTTCCCACTGACCCCCAATGTAAGGGACATTCTTCCACTGACCCCCAATGTAAGGGACATTCTTCCCACTGACCACCAATGTAAGGGACATTCTTCCCACTGATATCCCCAATGTAAGGGACATTCTTCCCACTGACCCCAATGTAAGGGACATTCTTCCCACTGATCACCAATGTAAGGACATTCTTCCCACTGACTCCCCAATGTAAGGGACATTCTTCCACTGACCCACCAATGTAAGGGACATTCTTCCCACTGACCCCCCAATGTAAGGGACATTCTTCCCACTGATCCCAAATGTAAGGACATTCTTCCCACTGACCCCCAATGTAAGGGACATTCTTCCCACTGATCCCCAATGTAAGGGACATTCTTCCCACTGACCACCAATGTAAGGGACATATTCTTCCCACTGACCCCCAATGTAAGGGACATTCTTCCCACTGATCACCAATGTAAGGGACATTCTTCCCACTGATCACCAATGTAAGGGACATTCTTCCCACTGACCCCCAATGTAAGGGATGACCCCCAATGTAAGGAACATTCTTCCCACTGATCACCAATGTAAGGGACATTCTTCCCACTGACCACCAATGTAAGGGACATTCTTCCCACTGATCAACCAATGTAAGGGATATTCTTTCTTCCCCACTGATCACCAATGTAAGGGACATTCTTCCCACTGACCCCCAATGTAAGGGACATTCTTCCCACTGACCCCCCAATGTAAGGAACATTCTTCCCACTGACCCACCAATGTAAAGGACATTCTTCCCACTGATCACCTATGTAAGGGACATTCTTCTTACTGACCACCAATGTAAGGGACATTCTTCCCACTGACCCCCAATGTAAGGGACATTCTCTTCCAACTGACCCCCAATGTAAGGGCCATTCTTCCCACTGACCCCCAATGTAAGGAGACATTCTTCCAACTGACCCCAATGTAAGGGACATTCTTCCCACTGACCCCCCAATGTAAGGAACATTGTTCCCACTGACCACCAATGTAAGGGGCATTCTTCCCACTGACCCACAATGTAAGGGACATTCTTCTTACTGACCACCAATGTAAGGGAAATTCTTCCCACTGACCCCCAATGTAAGGAGCATTCTTCCAACTGACCCCCAATGTAAGGGACATTCTTCCCACTGACCCCCAATGTAAGGAACATTCTTCCCACTGACCACCAATGTAAGGGGCATTCTTCCCACTGACCCCCAATGTAAGGGACATTCTTCCCACTGATCACCAATGTAAGGGACATTCTTTTTCCCACTGATCACCAATGTAAGGGACATTCTTCCCACTGACCCCCAATGTAAGGGACATTCTTCCCACTGACCCCCAATGTAAGGGACATTCTTCCCACTGACCCTCAATGTAAGGGACATTCTTCCCACTGACCCCCAATGTAAGGGACATTCTTCCCACTGACCACCAATGTAAGGGGCATTCTTCCCACTGACCCCCAATGTAAGGACATTCTTCCCACTGACCCCCAATGTAAGGGACATTCTTCCCACTGACCCCCAAATGTAAGGGATCATTCTTCCCACTGACCACCAATGTAAGGGACATTCTTCCCACTGTAAGGGATGATTTTTCCCACGTAGATCACCAATGTAAGGGACATTCTTCCCATGACCACCAATGTAAGGACATTCTTCCCACTGACCCCAATGTAAGGGACATTCTTCCCACTGACCACCAATGTAAGGGACATTCTTCCCACTGACCCCCAATGTAAGGGACATTCTTCCCACTGACCCCCCCAATGTAAGGGGCATTGCACCTCCTGACCACAAGTGTAAAAAAGCTCCTTCTTCCACTAAGTACCAATCTTAGGAGGACATTCTCTTCTTCCACCACCCAATCTAAGGGACATTCCTCCTCCCACTCACCACCAATTCTAGGGTGGTCCTTGTCCTCCCACTCACCACCAACCTAGGTTCCTCCTCCCACTCACACCAACCAGTAAGGGTCAATCCTCCCTACTGACCACCATGTAAGGGGTTAATGATCCTGTTTGGTAACTTCGCGTTCCTTTTTCTTTCTATGGACTCCTTTCCATCGAGTAAAGCAATCTTAACGTGATCCCAATGTATCCGGGATTCTACCCTATGACTGACCCCCAATGTATTTCAATTCTTTCCCACGTGTTACAAATGTTTGAGAGGGCATGCTCTACAGATGAGTTGGTGGACCCCCAATGTAAGATTGACAATTACAGATTGCATAGTATATGTCAGCAGAATGGTTACAATTTTCTCTATTCTCTCCCCATTATATATACATTCTAGGACAATCAATCGACTGCGGTCAATGTAAAGGGGTGACATTGATGTCCACGTGGGATCCCCATGTAAGGGACACATTCTTCCCACTGAACCCCATGTAACTCAATAATCGCATTCTTCCCATGACACAATGTAAGAGACTCTTTCTCAGTAACCTAACTTGATCACAAATCAAATGTTGTAAATGAAGTTCCCTACTTTCAAGAGGATCGCATGTAATAGTCGGGACATCCTTTCCATGACCCCAAATGTAAGGACATGGTTAACCACTACCCCAGGGATGTACGGGGCAAATCCCAAAACGAAAAATGTGCCATGCTCCTCCCATGAGTCCACCAATGTACCAGGGACCTTCTTCCCACTTGCCAGTTGTACCAGGCTCCTCCACTTCATCTCACCAATGTAAGAGTACCATCCTCCCTTTATCTTGACCCAATGTACCGGGAACATTCTTACCCTGACATCCAATGTAAGGTGGACTTCTTCCTTTCCATCCGACAAGTGTAAGGGCTCCGCCCATTCTAGCATTGCCAGGTGTATTGCCCTACCCCTGTAAGTCTTGACACAAGGCTTCCGTCCTCTCCCTTCACAAAGGTTGTACAACTGGTACATGGCCTCCTCCCACTTCAGTGTCCAATGGCACAGGCTTTATCCGTTCCATCCCCCCACTCACACCTTGTCGTACAGGTGTACTGGACTCCTCCTCCTCGCCATCACTTTGCAACCAAGGTTGGTACATTCCCACCCTCCCATGCATTAATCTAAGGGGTGTCATACCTGACTTGTGTATCAAGTCGTAAAAAGTCCTTCATTCCTTTATGGCAACAGGTGAGTACTTGATCCTCCGGGGATCCCCGACCTTGCCACTCAGTATGGTAGAGGTCCTTCCCCTTCACAAAGGCTCAGGGTGGAATGCTCCAGATGACTTCAGGTGCATAAATAAAGGAAAGCATTCTCGGCTCACTGACCTTGCAACTAGTATATCAGGTTACACGACAATTCTATTTGTACTTTATTGTCCTCTCCCCATTGTATCCTTTTCAAGAGTTTATCGACTCCTCTTTCCATCGGTGAAGACGTATGATGGTGACCGACTCCTCCCCGGTTTTCTCCTGAAATGCATCTCCGCGAGTCCTTCCTCAAATGACTTGAGCTAAAACAGTGAAGCGACTACACCCGAACATGAATGCTTTCACAGTGTCTATTGGCCCCCTGGGTACCTACAACCTTCAAGGTTCTTGTACAATACCAGAACTTTATATCCTTTCAATGAGCAGAATAGGTTAAATCAACCGACCTGCAACAACCTCCGATCCATCATTATCTCAATCTAGGACAACCAGTCGCGGTACCATCAGCTTCACTCACGTTCAAACCAACAGATAACCGTGCTCCTCCATCACTCTCTTTTCTCCAATTTCGATCTTCCCGGGACGATGAACACCCTCCCTCAAAGGTACCTCCTTGCCAGTAATTGATGTGTGAGAACTCCCCCTTTGAGGTCTTATACCTCCTGAGAAAACTACTGAACCTAATAACCCTCGGGAACAATCACCTGTATTGATTCCCCTTCATGTCTTGCACATGTACTGACTCCTCCCCAACAGTTCAGTCTAGCAGCCCCCTCTGCAAAAGAAAGGATTCCTACCCCAACATCAGTCTTGCACAGGTGTACCGGCTCCTCCCCCATCCAGTCCCCACCCAGGTTTACCCCACTTCCTCCCCTTCACTCTTGTACAAATGTACATTGCTCCTCCCTTACTCCCGTTCAGTCATGCACATCATCTCCTTAGCCCTTGATCCAGGTGTACACCTCCCCTTTCACTCATAGTACAGGTGTGTTTGTTGGTTGTCTGACTCCTCCAACCACCGATCTTTGCAAGGTGTATCTCCCAGCCCCTCCCCTTCCCAAGTCTTGCACCAGGTGTACCGGACTACCTTTCTTCAGTCTAGCACAGGTGTACTGGCTCCTCCCACCCCTTCAAAGTCTTGCAACAGTATCATAGCTCTCTCCCCTTCAGTCCGCTCCCATCCCTACTGGCCCCGTGACCCTCATTCAGGTCGTTCCTAATAATTGTACACAGGTCAGTGCGTGTTCAGCTCTGCCATGGCGCTCCTCCCCTTCAGCTCGCTTCCACGATCACGGGCTCCCCCTTCAGGTTCCCACCGGCTCCTCCCCTTCACTCTTGCACAGGTGTGCTTACCTTCTGACCAGGTTGTCGGTTTCTCCCATTCAATCTTGCACAGGTGTAATATGGCTCCTCCCCTTCAGTCTTGCACCTCCCCTGTACCGACGCCTCCTCATTCTCAGTCTTGCATCAAGGTGTACACCCACTCCTCCCACCTCCCCCCCACCCCACACACAGGTGTACCGGCGCAAACTCACCCTTCCAGTCTTGCAAGGAGTAGAGGCACCATAATCAGTCTTGCAAGGTGTATTGGCTCACTCCCCTTCAGTCTTGCACAGGTGTAGCTGCTCCTCCCCATTCTGTCTTGCACAGGTGTAACAGCTTCCTCCCCTTCAGTCTTGCACAGTTGTACCAGCTCCGCCCCTTCTCCTTTCTT